TGTAATCCATTTGAGAAGCATGTCTACTAATGGGACGGAGTGGTCTGTAAGACTGTCTTCCTAAATTGCATGAAGCAGTAAACTGCTAGTTCACTTTCCTTTAACGGAAGGAGCTGGGGGCTGACCCTCTGTCTTTTAATTCCAGGTTTTGTTAGGGTAATAAACAGAAGGTATGTCTGCACTGCCAAGTTTAAACAAGTTTTGACCCATCCTCGATCTTTCTCCCAAAGACCCATGGGAATCCTAGTTTGACAAGCTGAGGGGGTGGGATGCCATGAACGAATTTTCAACACAGGGAAGTTTCAGGGGCAAGAGTGGTGAAACCGTTTTTAAAAACTGGTTTATTTTGGCAATGCAAGTGGGTCAGTAGCGCGCGTCCCTTGGACAAGCACTAGTTAATTGGCGATTTGGAACCAAAGATCCCCACCCCAAGAACCTACTGCCCGTCCTCTTTCAGAAGACATGATTTTTCAGTGGTAGAGAATTATTTTGCTTAACCATAAAGGGTAGTGATGAACCTTAGCATAATGAGAATCAAGCACCCAGACTCTTAATTCAACAATTGTGCTGTCTCCTTCCCCACCCCCACCCTCGGGAATACGGGCTGTATTTGTACTGGGCTGTTTTGTACAGATCTGGAGCTGTTCTGTACTGGGCCAAGATCACAGGGCAGTGTCCCTCTTCTTTTTTTGCCAGCAAGCCCAGGTGGCCAAGTTTTCCCTGTTGCCACACTAGGGGGGGGGGGGAGCATTGCAGATGCCAGAATCATAAAAGAGGGGGAAAATGGAGACAGAAGCGGTTCCCCGGATATTTGGGCTGAACTTGGGTCCCTGGACTTTCCTGCCGCTGTGTCAGGCCTATCCAAAGCCTCTACAAGGGCTGCTTCTAGCAAGACATTTTGCAAGACCAGTATCTATCTGTCTGTACCCTGCCCTGCTTCTAAACAACGCGGGGCGGCATATGTGGGTATCTTGCTCTTGATTTTTATCTGCACAAAAACCATGCAAGCTGGGATCAGCAGAGAGGCTGACTCAAGGTGGCTACAGTGAGTTACATGGCCAAGTGGGAATTGGAACCCAGGTCCTCCTAGTCCTTAAGCACTGTTCTACACTGGATTGGATCCCACTGGCATCCAGGGGGAACGTCCCTTGTACCAGAGCAAAGCACTGGCGGAACGGATGTCTGGGACCTGACTCACCGTTTCCCAACAGTCCAAAAATGCACGCCAGGCACGAAAGCTGTATGCCATCTGCAGGGTTTCCCCCCCCCCCCTCTGCAGAATACTTGTAAGCTGTTCTTTAAACATTCAGACCTCTCAGTACTTTGAAAGGGAAAAGCTGTCTCTCTTTCCATTTTCCTTCAACAAGCATAATAATACAGGGCCTTTCTTTTGTTGGGGGTCTTTCGAGCGGCATCTAAAGCCACTCACAGAACAGTCAGATCTAGGGTTGCCAAATGTAATTTACTCACCGGCGGGGGGAGCATCTTCTCACTCCGGGAGCTGGCTGGGGATGTGTGCGCGCCTGCCGCCGGAACGTCACCGGAAGTGACGCACGACGTAGCACGTTGGGGACGTGGCCAAGATCATCGGGGGAAAACCATATGGTTTCCTCCCCGACGATCTGGGCCATGCCCCCAACATGCCCTATGTTGTGCGTCACCTCTGGTGACGCAGCTTCGGGGGGCGGGGTTCCCCCCGGGCCCGATTCCGTCGCATCGGAAATCGGGCCTCCAAAGCGAGGGATTTCTGGCCCCATTTGGCAACCCTAGTCAGATCCCCCCCAACACACTTTTTTGCCGAAAACATTTGACCAATTCCGGTGTGCGTGTCCCCGGTCAATAAAGAAAACCAGGCTGCTTAACACACCTCCCCGGTTGGGGGGACAGACATAAAGCAGGCACCAAAGCAAATGCAAATCACCAGCTATGAATTGTGGCTGGCTGTGGGTTCCATATACTTCCATTTAAGATGAGTAGCCATATCAGTCTGTCTGTAGCAGGAGAAAAGAGCAAGAGTCCAGGAGCACCTTCAAGACTAACGACACTTGTGGCAGGGGAGGAGCTTTTGTGAGTCACTGTTCACTTCTTCAGATATCTGAAGTGAGCAGTAACTCAAGAAAGCTCATATCCTGCCACAAATGTTGTTAGTCTTCAAGGTGCTCCTGGGCTTTTGCTCTTTCCTTCAGTTTGCTTTTCACTGGGTAAACAGGGATGGTTGGCAGGGCACCTGGTCAGCCACAAGACAGTGCTTGGTGGTTAGGGAATCGCGTTAGAGAGGAAACAGCAGAGAGGTCCCTACACAACGATTCCCAGTTCCAGCCTCTGTGGATGCTGCGGAATCATGGTTTTCTCTTTTGCTCCCTGTCTCAGTCATGTGGACAGGGGAAGGAAGGCTTTTAAATAACTTAATCTTTTCCATGCTAAATTTTTTAAAAACTCTTTTTGTTGGTGCAACCATATGGCAAAAATGTGTTGAAAAGGATGTATAGTACGTTCATTATTAAAAAGTCTGTCTGGGCCTCCAAGCTGATGATCCGCAGTGTGGAATTTAACATGTACAGGAACCTTTCCTGATATTTCTGTCCAGCGAATATAACCTCTGGAGGCCTAGGCTCAGTGAACACAATCCACAACCCAAATGGGGTTGTCTCCCTTCTTTCCATTGGTCATATATGGCTGAATTTTTTTTTTAACCTCTGCCACAGTTTAGAACAATTCTTTCTTTTAGGGGAGTGTCATTGACATGGTGTTTTTTTCCAGCTTGTGGTTGCTTTGTTTGTTTAAATTGTGTCCATTCTGCAAAACTGGAATGGATTTGGCCCACTCAGCCATAAGGAGAAAGGGCCATTAGAACGCCTAACATTCGGAATCTAAGATGACTTCCTTCTCACCTGAGGATTAACGCTTGCATTGTCACCAGGCCCTGCACAATAGCAGCACCTAGTGACACATTACAAGCATTACATCCTTTCAACACAACCGCTCAAAGGGAGAATTTTTTGCTAATATGCCCTCACACTGAGGACAAAGTTTATTTAAAAATGAAATCTACAGTTATCTGTTCTGAAACCCAGCCACAGGTATATAACCACACAAGTTGTTAGTGCGCAATGAACTCTTGAGCTGGATGCATCTCTGTTTCAAAGCTCTGTGCATGTGTGTGTTTTACGGAAACTTCTGTGTGGGTTCAAAATGAAGACCTCCACTCTACATATGGTGCCTAGCATCTCTGTCAGTCTGAGATTGTGTGGTGATTCCCACAGATGATGACTTGGTGGCAGGTTTTCATGCTATGTTTAATAATTCCTGTTTTTCCTTAAGTGTTATTATCCGTGAAACGGTGCAGTGCTAAATGTAGTCCTCTAGGGGATGGGGGGGGAGAGACAGAGTGGGTGTGTCCTTTTGGGCTGGTGGTTTTGTGCATTATTTCCATTTTGTTCCATGAAGAATGTGAAACTTGCTTGCAGTTTTCTGATTTCTTTTCAACTGTTTTCTCCTGTAATTTTTGTGTGTGTGTGTCTACAAAGAATTTTGGGATTAGGGTAGGATTTGTAAGGCGTTTCCTTTCTCATTTGCTTGTTTTCAGTTCACAGCCTAAGGAACGAGGGCTTTATGTTCCAGGTTTTTGTTTTGTTTTGTTTTTTAATTAGTTCAGATGAAGCTGGGGCAGAGCAGGGGGAAATGAGGATGAAATTGATGCTTTAAGGCATGTCCACATGGGTACTATCTTGCTTAGGATGGTTTAGAGGTAAGCCAAACGTCTAGAAAAATGGCAGTCCCTCCCCCAATAAAAAGCAAAGCAGCATGCACCGTTTATGATACCCTCATCCAGTCCATTGTGAAATGCGGACTTGCAGTAGCTGTTGTTGAAATTGGTTTGCACCAAATCCTCGCGTCCGAGTCCTGGTGAAATCCCCATGAGGACATGCCTTGAGTTGTTGCAGGGCTTTCTTGTATCTCACGAGGTCTTGATCTTACAACATTTAAAAATTTGCAGAGGAGCTGAACAACGGTGAGAACACCCAGGTGGAAAAGCAGTCCCTTGCTGTTTGGGGGTGCGGTGGTTGTACGTTTCAACAGCAGAGCCGCGAGTGCTCGCAAGAATCGGATGTTGGACCGAGGGTGGGTCGCAGGGCTACTGAAGGGAATCCGTGGGGCCTCAGGGGACTCGTGAGGAGAGGACCCCCTCCCCTTGCCCTGTTAAATTGGCTGGGTGCAACATGGACACCTTTATTAAGCAAGGTGTGGGAGCCCCCTTCCCCCTGCGGCCCAGGACCCTTGACAAAATGCTGCCCAGGGGCCCCCTCATGGAAGCCCTGACGGACAGGGAAGAACGGGAAGGAAAGAAAAAAGGGACATTCTGAGATTTTTTTTTAGCTTTATTTTTTTTTTTAGTTAAAAGACGGAAAAAAAGAAAGCAAATCAATTTGCAGCTGCCAGCGTGAAGGCCTTTTTTTACTCTCTCTGTGTTTCCCTATTTTTCTCTCTTCTCCTCATGTCATTGTGTTCTGCATCAAACCCCCTTAACATCCCTCAGAGCTACGAGAAGGTTGGTGTGGTTTTTTTTCTTTTTAACTTCCTTTACCCACATTTTTACATTTCTTAAGAGAGAAAAAATATATTATATATATTATTTTTTTTATAAAAAATGACAACTATAATTTAAAAAAAAAAAGAGAGAGAAAGAAAGCAAGAAATCTTGATATCTATAAAAAAGCGAGACCTGCTCGTTCTCGGGTCTCGTTGGTGATGAGTTGAGTTGCATTGTGGGCCTCTCTCTGCATCCTTTCGGTAATGTTTGCTGCGTTGTGCACTTTTCTGTCGTCATGGTTACCTTGCGTATGGACTTTTGGGCCTGATGCATGATAGGAGAATGTTAATGGCAATTTGTGCATGCTGGTCCTTTTAAAATTATTATTATTATTATTTTCAAATTTATGTGCGTGCGTGTATATATCTATATACATATGATTTTAAACGAACAATGTGGTTTTTTTTTCCCAGTGGATTTTTTGTTTGTTTGTTAAATCACTCCTTTTTAGGGTTTTAAACTTATTTTTTTGCTTTTTTGTTTCTCTCTTTTTTTTTTGGGTTCGTTCCCCCCTTTTTGGTTTTGATTGGTTATGCTGTGCTGTAATTTTATTCCAGATGCATTGTGAGGAAAAAGCCAGTGTTCCTGCTCCCCCCCCTCCTGCAGACTCCAAATCTACTTCCTCCCTACCCCGTTGACAATTCAATTACCTCCAACTCAGAGGAATGGATTCACACAGTTCTAATGCCTGTCCGAGGAAGTGGAGTTTTTTTCAAGGGAATGTGTGTGACATAGGACATCTAGAAAGTGGGGGCCTTAGTTTGTATCAAACTAATTCTAAAGTGAATAGAAAAATCCAAGGGTTAGTAAAAAGGGAATTAAGCTGATTAGATTTATGCAGCAAAAAGACCTTTTTAATATGCATTAATATTGATCGTCATGGGGGCGGTGGACACAGAACCCAAGTTCCACCTGTACACACTCGATGCAAAACAGGTGCACGCATAAACATGTACGGAAATTACACGCAAAAGATTTGCACCATTGTTCCAGAATAACAGTCTTCTTCTCTCAGTGCCCGAGTTCTGTACCCACATTTGCTAATATAAACGTGGCTCTCCATCCCTAGCTCTTTAGCCACTCTGTTCAGAAGTATAGCAAGGTAGATGATTTCAAACAACTATTGACCTAAAATAGTTACCCCTACTATTTTTATAATTAAACCTTGGGATCCTGAAGTCACCACAAGGTGTGCCTGAGGTTGGATTCCAAACAGAGCAAAATGACCTTGTAGTGGGCATGCACATGAAAACTGAAACCCAGATCTAAACTTTATTGGTCTTAAAGGTGCCACTGGATCCAAACGTTGTTCCATCTTTTTTCAGCTAAAGGTGCCACTGGATTCAAACGTTGTTCCATCTTTTTTCAGTTATTCATCACTGCCTTCCCTCCTCCCTCTTCCAGTTTAACTTTAGCTCTAACGGAAGGATATCATTTTTTAAAAATTCCGTATAATACAATCTATGCAGCTGAGAGGAAATTGGCTCAGTGGGCTACAGCAACCCAGGCGGGCTTAGTCCAGCCAGTGGCAGAGTTCATGAGCTGCGGGATCCCTCCTGAGTTTCCTCAGGTGCAGTTCCAGGCAGCCGCTTGTAATGCTGCTAGAGTTTTGCCTCTGAGCTTATGCAAAATGCCCTTCTCCCTTCAGACAGAGGAAGCAGCTTCGGAGAACTCCATTTGGGAGGCAGGTATCCTTCCAGGCGTGTTCCAAATGGCTCTTCCCCTGAAGAAAAATATAAAACGGAAAACACTAGCTCTATATAATCTCCCTTTGCCCCAACTTACATCTCCCCGTGCTCGGCGAAACTGAGGAGACGTCTGAGGCAGCAAAATTTGGGGCGTCTCAGTAGGTCTGTGGCAAACTCCACCAGACAACTGGTCTGCCGTGTTTCATACAACTAGATTAGGGGGAGACCCTGAAAGCCGTCTCTTCCCACCAGCCTCCCCAAGTTGGCTGTGGGTCCTGATGTGCAGGGTATGCTTGACTGAACACAGTGGACTTCAGTGGTAGGTATACCCCATGTATCAGGACATACATCATGTCCACGCACCCAGTCTTCCAACTTTGTTTTCCTTTTTCAGCTGCATTTTCAGTTCCTTTTTATGTCTGGGACCTCAGCTGTCTTTCTTCACCTAAGACAAAAAATTTTTTGGGGGGAGTTCCCAGATACCTCCTCCTCAGATTAATTAATGACCACATGATACCGTAATAACCCCAAGGGCGGGGGGAGGGCATTCCTAGCGTACAGGTATTAAAGCTGTGTGATTTTTAAATTTATGATTTTATTTTTTTTTATTTTTTTGAGAAATCCAGTGCAGCCTTGACAGTTACCTGTCTCATTATTTTCTCTCCTCTCCTCTCTTCCTCTCTTTCTCCTCCTTTTCTCCTCCTCCCTCTTTGTTTCTCCTTCTCTCTGCCTCTCTTTCTTAAACTGAGATTTCCATGCCGAGACCCTGGGTCCTGTTCCCCACCCGGTACAAACACAACTCCCTTTCCTAGCCTGCAGGGCTCAAGGCTGTGCCATGGACAAGAAGTATCGTCTTACTAGCCAAAGGCTCCTTTTGAGCCTTTGGCTGTCATCTAAAGTAGCTTGTAGCTCAGCACAGGAGAAGGCGGCACCAAACAGCAAGGTACTCTTTGCCCCCCCTCCCGAGTTTAATGGGCAAAGGTTGCGGTGCTTGCATTGGGTGGCCACAAGATGAGACAGGACGTGTCGTCCAAAGATCCCCTCCCCACGCTCCAAAAATCTTCCTGCCTTGATATTATGCTGAAGTCAGTCAGCATAGGTACCCTTCTCTTCAAGCATCATTAACACCATTCAACATTATTCCATGTTTGGGGAGGGGGAGCTAGTATGTCAAGCACAAGGGTAACTTAGGCCCCCTTTCCCCTGTGTGGCTGGTTTTCTACATGCAGGGAGTTCTTTTGCAAAACAGAGGGAGCTCTCAAAAATGTGATCTGCCTCCTCCAGTGGGGGCGGTCCAAGAGGGAACCAAAACGGTGCAGTTTTGCTGGATGCAAAATCAATTTGGTGTTGGGAAGGAATTGCGTGGCTCGCAGCCCGCGGACGGCGCATTCCCTGGAACCATCTTCTCTGCAGGTGACTGCGTTTCCAGTCCATCCTGGCTCATCCGGACTACGCCACAACCAGGCAGGGAGGACCTACAGGGTGGGTGGATCTGATTGAACATCAGAGGACGATTCTGAGACGTCCTCCATTCCAGTAATTCTTCAGTTGTAGGTACACACAAACACACAAAAAGAAGAATCCATTTTACTGTTGGAAAGGTTTAGTAAGAATACAGAGAGAGAGGGTTCCCCTCCCCCCCCCGGGTCTTCCTCCAAAATGCTTCCTCATACATCTGCAAGACGTGTACTTCTCTTTGTGCAAAGCCACAACCATGTCCTGAAGTTCAGCTCATTTTGTAAGTGTTCCATTAAAAGTAGCGATAGGATATATCACGCCGCAGTCAGGCGCAGTTTCAAATACGGTTTGACAAGACAAAAGACCCCATCATGCAGGGGGGCCAGGGAGAGTATTTTCATGAAGTCAGTACGTGAGATGATATCTACTCAAGTAAGTGCAGGCATGAAGATATAAGAGGCTGGAACCTCTGAATCCAGCAGTAGTCTTTCCGATGGTGCTGGCAGCCTCCGCTTAACACCAGAGAGCAAATCCTTGCACCAGAGGAAGCTGCACCACTCACTAATCCGTGGGATCCAACCCGAATTTACAACAATCTAAATCCCAGAGGAGCGGCCCAGGATGGTTATGGTGGCCTTAACTCTGGGCTGAGAAACTCCAGGCAGCAAATGGGTTTTCTGCCCCATTTGTTGACTGGAAACACCACCACCACCCCATCTCAGCATGCCTCTAAAAGGCATTGTTTCTCTCAGGTGTATCCTCTCCAGTTGGGATTCCTTGTTGACAACTCACCCTGAGGAGCAGTGGTAAGTCCACCATGCCAACTGGCAAAGGGTAGCAGCTGCCAATCATTTGTATATATGACCCCTCCTTGGCAAACCAAGGCTACGGTCCTCCATTCTTGGACCTGAAATAGCCAAAAAATCCGGAAACACGCTGGCTTAAGGCGTCCAGGTTTTGGACACGTCTCTGATGTTAAAGGTGCCCACGCCGCCCCGCTGCGTGCCTTAATGAGAGTACCACCTTGTGCCTGCGGCCAAACACAGTCGAAAACCACGAATAATTAGCGGTACGAGCCAGTTCGTTGTGGGATGTTGGTGAGGTGACAGGCTCCTTCTCAGGCCCTCTGTGCAGCCCTCCATTTTCTTTCTGCATCCCACAGTAGCTCCCAGGACCACCTCATCCCTTGAGAGAAGACAACCTCCAAATCTCAAGTGCCCTTCACATTCGGCGGGGGGGGGGAGGTTGATCTAGAATTCTGCCCACAGTGATGGGGAAGTAATACTTCCCTAGAACACTAGTCCCTTCCAGATCCGGGTCCTTTTCAGATTCCCTTTCTATATCATGTTTTTTCTCACTGAGCTGTGGGACGTGGGGAGAGAGTAAGAGCTTATAGCGACATCATTTCTAAAATCTCAGTCATCTCCTACACGTTTTGAGAGAGAGAGAGAGAGAATGGGTCAGGGGTCAATGGGATACCCTACGCTTGTTTTGGGTAGTCCTCTGCTCATTAATTTTTTTCAGTGGAAATTTCAAATGATTTTCAATGAAAAATAAAACAGCAAGATTAACGTTCTGTTTTTGCAGAAGGATTTCTCAAGAGCTTGAGGGAAATGTGGCCCAGTTATCGATGGCATCTTTAAGAAGGGCGCTTTGCAGGAACACTGAGCTACGAGTGATTTTTTTTTAAGAAACCCTCCGCCTGCTTCCGTCTATTATGCCTTTTGCATTGCTGTTCTCTTTGTTTTAGGGGGGGAAATTTTAGATTACACCTTGTCACATTAATTTAATGTTTAAAAAAAATTAAAAAAA